GAAAGTCTTCAAATTAAGCTGCAGATTTTTGTCACAGTTGTTTGAATGCATAACAGGTTTTGCTGAATATTTACTATGTGGCGGGAACACGTGGGCGCGTAGCTCTTCATTGAATGATTCAATGACTAAATGATCCCCTAGCTTTGTTTGGGAGCGTTCGTTCTCTGACAGCGGTACAAGTCAAAGTCACGCAAACGCTTCAAACAAACCAACGCCAATAGCAGGGTTAAGGCACAGGCGCTCGGCACGTTTCTTTGATAATAAAAATGACCTAAAGTAGGGACTTTAGGTCCTTTTTATCCAAGAAACGTGCTGAGCGCCTGTGGGTTAAGGGGCTCGTAGCTGTGGTTCATACTATGTCCCATGTCTGGCCGTATTGTAGTTTGCTTCCCGGCAAAACAATAAAAAAAATACGTCAAAGTACAAAATATAAGTAGAATAAAACGTTGTGTCGAAATATGTTGCCTTATGATTTTAATGTTTTTAGCGTGATCGCGAAACACTTGTGACAACTTTTTATAATCCAAAAAGTTAGATAAAGCTAGATTAGAAGGCAATGCCCGAGACGAAGTACATGTACTCGTAAATACTTTCTTATGCGTGGAACTATGCCCTTGTTTCACTTGTGTGGTCAAATTAACCTGATTATAAAGGGCCAAAATAATTACAGATGTTCTGTGTTTTACACTGACATGCATTTAAAATTTAGGAAAACCAAGCATAGTTTTATCAATTCCCTATCTCAAATATATGTTGATAAATTATTCCTGAAACTGGAAAATTATTGTCATAATTTTGTTAATCTGCGTATAACAGCCACTTGTGTAGTCGTTATACACTGGCTTTGACTGTACCTTGTATTCGCCAGCCTTGCAAGAAACATTCACACCATGTACTTTGTATTCTCCTGCTTGCAATACTAAATACTGATCCGACAAAGTCAGAAAGCAGGGACTTGTGCAATGACCTCTGTCCTCATTTAGCAGACATATGCACATACATTTGTTTCATGATCAAATTCAGGATGTTGTTTTAAAAAAAATATCAAGGAAATGAAAATTCCCAACAATCAGCAAAGGAGCAATGGCATCAGTGGTTAGGATTAACAGCCAAAAGATGTTCACCACCAATATATAGCAAACACACACACAGACACAACAAACTCATTATGTCCCTTTGTGTGCTTTGTACACACAGGAACTAAAAATGGCTGAGTGGCAGTCATCTTGTTTAAACAAATGTAGCAATGCTCAGATTATCTCTGGTATTATTGTACTGCGAATGCCCGTTTTATTATGTGTGCAACTGTATTGCCAAATTGTGTAACCACAGGGACCATTGATAATTAAAACGCATACATGACAATTCTAATCTCTTGAAGTAACCTTCACCAGAAAAATAAACAACATTTCAGTCCAATTATCCACAGCCCCCAACTGAAAATGAAATGCTCACATCATACGAGATAGAAGGATTTTTTAATTCAGTAAAATTAGACAATTAAATCTTGCAAAAATCCTCATTCATTCTTTTTTCGCTTTTTCTTTTTATGCTTTTTAGATTCTTTACTAGAATAATCTTTGGACTCATCTGTGTTGCTAATCTCCATATCATATGTATCTGTTTTTGTCTTGTGCAAGTCTGTGTCCGTTCTAACATCATTACTTCTGTCTACATCCTCCCACTGTAATTCACGATCAGAAACATCATTCTTCTTCTCTGTCATGTGACTTTTTTCTCGTTTAAGTTTCTTTTTTGATTTCTTACTGACATATTCACTTTGTTCCGGGTCAGGACTTAATTCTGAACTGTCAACATTTTCCAGTTTTTGTCGTTTATGTTTCTTTTTAGATTTTTTACTGGAATGTTCACATTGTTCTGGGTCAGTACTTAATTCTAAACTGTTAACATTTTCCGTTTTTTGTCGTTTATGTTTCTTTTTAGATTTCTTCCTTGTTTCCGCCTTGAAAGCTTCATCAGTACTTTCTTCACTGACATCCTCACTCTTATTCCTCTTCCTTTTTGTCTTCTTGGTTTCATCGTTTGTAGAAACCTCCACTCTGTGTTTTACAGGATTGTCAAGCTCAGTCAAATTAGATTCTATCACTTCATCAACTGTATTAGTTCCACTGTATGGCCTACAATATACACAATATTTTTATGTTATTATGATTGCTGCACCACGCAGTATTACTTATAATAATCAATAGGCAAAGGCATTTGAGAAAAAAATACACTTCTGGGAGGATTTCTAGTTACACCCCCTCCCCTATATGTGAGCTTTAGTCAAAATGGCAGCCATTGCTGTACTTTTATACAGTTGCAATTTTATTGACAGTTCTACATATATTTTCACCAATCCTATTTCCTCAGCAATGTGAGTTTTGTTTTCACTTATGTACTAATGGAGATGATATTGTTTTTAAGTAAATGAAAACAGGTGAAAGAACTGATCAAAACAATGACAATACATATATATCAATAAACAAGCCATGCATGGCACAGTCCCCGTTAGTTATCAAATTGAAGATATATAGTTTTGTTTATAGTAATATAAAGCTGGAATATAACCATGTCAGGAATATGATTTTTTTTAAATTAAAATGATTGACATTTGTATCTGATCGTCAAACAAGTACTTTTCCATATTGAGAGATATTGCTTTGGAACAGCATTCAAAATCAGCCATTTTGAATACATGTATATATATATATAACATGATGTATAACGAATATATAAAATTTGAATATAATCCGTCAAAGCATTTAAGAGATATGGCTCTAGAAACCCAATCATTAAAACAAAATGGCTGCCAGTCAGCCATTTTGAATCCAGTCTGAAAAATAAAATGGCGTGCATCAGGAACCTGTAATGTCTAATGTATGTTATAAGTTTGAACGAAATCCATCCATAAATGCAAGAAACGCTTGATATTTGAGAATTTGTTAGCACAAAAATAGACACCATTTGGCCACTTGGAAAAGGATCGTCGAACCAATATATCCGTATATCTATGACATGATGTATAACGAATATTAAACATAATCAGTCAAAACAAGTCAGACATATGGGTCTGGAAACCCATTCATTAAAACTAAATGGCTGCCAGACAGACATTTTGAATCCAATCTGAAAAATAAATGATGTGCATCAGGAACCTGTAATGTCTAATATATGTACCAAGTTTGAACGAAATCCATCCATAAATGCAAGAAACGCTTGATATTTGGAATTTGTTAGCACAAAAATAGACACCATTTGGCCACTTGGAAAAGGATCGTCGAACCAATATATCCGTATATCTATGACATGATGTATAACGAATATTAAAAATTTGAACATAATCAGTCAAAAAACAAGTCAGACATATGGGTCTGGAAACCCATTCATTAAAACAAAATGGCTGCCTGACAGACATTTTGAATCCAATCTGAAAAATAAATGATGTGCATCAGGAACCTGTAATGTCTAATGTATGTTATAAGTTTGAACGAAATCCATCCATAAATGCAAGAAACGCTTGATATTTGAGAATTTGTTAGCACAAAAATAGACACCATTTGGCCACTTGGAAAAGGATCGTCGAACCAATATATCCGTATATCTATGACATGATGTATAACGAATATTAAACATAATCAGTCAAAACAAGTCAGACATATGGGTCTGGAAACCCATTCATTAAAACTAAATGGCTGCCAGACAGACATTTTGAATCCAATCTGAAAAATAAATGATGTGCATCAGGAACCTGTAATGTCTAATATATGTACCAAGTTTGAACGAAATCCATCCATAAATGCAAGAAACGCTTGATATTTGGAATTTGTTAGCACAAAAATAGACACCATTTGGCCACTTGGAAAAGGATCGTCGAACCAATATATCCGTATATCTATGACATGATGTATAACGAATATTAAAAATTTGAACATAATCAGTCAAAACAAGTCAGACATATGGGTCTGGAAACCCATTCATTAAAACAAAATGGCTGCCTGACAGACATTTTGAATCCAATCTGAAAAATAAATGATGTGCATCAGGAACCTGTAATGTCTAATATATGTACCAAGTTTGAACGAAATCCATCCATAAATGCCAGAAATGCTTGATATTTGATGATTTTTTTAGCCATTTTGAATAGGATCGTCAAACTCATATATCTGTCGATCTATGACATGATGTATAATGAATATTTAAAATTTGAACATAATCAGTCAAAACAAGTCGGAGATATGGGTCTAGAAGCCCATTCATTAAAACAAAATGGCCGCCAGTCAGCCATTTTGAATGTTATCTGAAAAACAAAATTATTTGCATCAAAGTCTCATAATGTCTAATGTATATATCAAGTTTGAACAAAATCCTTCTGTAAACAGCCGAGAAATGCTTGATTTATATGATTTAGCACAAAAATGGTCGCCAATCGGCCATCTTGAATCAGATCATGAAACAAATTGACATGCATATGTATAATATCATGTATGATGTATGTGTGAAGTTTGATTGTGATTGGTCCAGGCATTTCTAAGATACAGGTTCAGATGCAGTTTTCAGACTGCATCCGAACGGGGACTAAAAAAGCGCAGTAATTTGTGGGAAAAATGACATCATGTTATTATTAAGTTAATAGGGAGATAACATTCTGTATTGTCTTCTGGTTAAATAAACAGTGAAATAAACATCTATTAAACGAAACATGCACTATAACAATAGGCTGACGAGCATTTCCAAATCATTAATGGAGAGTCTGTGCTCCCACCAAATATGTAACCTATAGGGATCATGCATTTGTGGTAGGTGTTTTAATTACTGTGTGAATCCAAGGATGATTTAAGGTACACAGCAAATCTCCTCATTGAGGTGCGGGTGGGGGTGTTGTGGGGGTGAAGTTGATTACAATTTATCTGTATGCATAAAATTACACTGAGTTGTCATAAATGCTTGTTTCATTTTTTGGTGGGGGTTGGGGTTTGAATGTTAAACAAAGTATAATAATTTTTATATGTATTTTAAAAACATAACAATGACCATTAAGTTACTCACATGACTTGCACTATATGTCCTTTTATGGATAACACTCCCCGTAGGGCATCCAATCTGTCAACTTGCAAGATGACTTCTTGTCCCATAACTAGAGTACCACCTTTCCAACCGTTGATAGCATTATCAGGTTTGGGTACAGAGGAGTTAAAACAACCATGAACCAGGCAACCGATGTGATCAATGCCAATTTTACGTACCACACCCTGTCAAATAATATACATGCATTAGTGAAGGACACCATGGTTTAGTCCTACCATAACTATAAAGCAACACAGTATGCAACATACATGTAGGGTCCTAAAATTATCGGGAAGGGAAGCAATTTACTGATATTTCATTTTTTCTACTGGCGTACATGTTAATGTATGTTTGATTGTTGTTGCCATAGAAACAGTACTCAGTGGTATCCTTGTATACTTCAACCAAGTGTGGGTACATCAGGACTATTACCAACAGCAAAATTGCTGCTAAATTATTTTTGAATTCAGTTAGTACAAAAATGTTTTGTCTATCCTCGGGGGCGGAGCTACGTCACAGACGTTCCACGTTGCTAAGACGCGTACCACTGTACCATGTATTTCTATGGGCTCTGTGCGCGCTGCTGTGGAATGCCTGTCGAGCCGGTGAAAACAACACAAACTCAAGTTTGAAGTAATCCCAAACAACCAAATTTATATATGTTACACACGTAGGGCTAATTTTGTTGCACTGTTCAGAGGAGTCTCAACAGTCATCCCAAAGTATTGTTTTCTGCAAGCTTTGGGCCCTTGTTTTCACCGTTTTCACCCGAGGATAGATTAACTTAAGTAAGCACATTCTATTTTACTGACAATACTATGTGAACAGGA